GAACAATAATTCTCAGATACTCGTGTGCCTAAAAAATACCTAGGGAGCTTGCAAAGATGTCTATTTCCAGACCTACCTATAGAAATTCTGATTTTGTTCACCTCAAGGCTCAGGTGTCTGCATTTTTTAAACACATTCTTCAGGGAACTTCCTCCCTTCCTTCCGTCCTTTTTTGAGATGGAGTCTCAGTCTGTTATCTGGGCTAGAGTGTCATTGCAACCTCAAACTCCTGGGTTCAAACAATCCTCCTGCCCCAGCCTCCCAAGTAGCTGGGTCTACAAGGCACCTACCACATGCCTAATATGTTCTATGTTTAGTAGAGACAGGGTCTCACCCTTGCTCAGGCTGGTCTTGAACTCCTGAGCTCAAGGAATCCTCCTGCCTTAGCCTCCCACAGTGCTAGGATTATACATGTGAGCCATTGCAACCAGCTTTGCCCTCAGGACAGCAGTTTGTCCAGGGACCAGACACTAAGAACACTCATCTAGAATGAAGCATATTTGGTGGCAGTTGTAGTTTGTTCCTGTTGCAGGAAGTCTAGAAGACCCACAAAGGAGAATGTAGTTCTGTCAATGAAGCATGTATGCCAGTCTTGAGGTCTGACCCAGAATCTAAAATCTAGCTAAAGGTGGGGGTGTCAAGTTTGTCTAAGCACTTCTAGACTTCCTGGAAAACCTGCAGCCAGCAGTGAGTTTCTGGGGAATCCTCATGGCTAGGATTTATTTGTGCCTTAAAACATTTGATAAGAACTTGATTAGTCTATCACAAGGGAGAGAAAAGAACATTAGAGTTACCTTTTTTGAGCACTGACCTATGCATCTAGTGCTCTGTGAGCACAATCCTGGGACATGGTTTTAGCTCTTGGAAGTTGATACTCAAATGCCATGTTGATACTCTAACGCCATGTTGTGCAATGTTGAGGAATAATAATACCTACTCTGGCAAACTGCCATCAGGATTAGATAGGGATAATATACATAAAACATCTGGGCCCCAAAAAGTAGCTCTAAAATTCTTTACTCTCCCTGTGACTGACTAATCAAGTTCTTATCAATTTTTTTTTTTTTTTTGAGGCAGAGCCTCAAGCTGTCACCCTGGGTAGAGGATTGTGACATCACAGCTCACAGCAACCTCCAACTCCTGGGCTCAAGCAAGTCTCCTGCCTCAGCCTCCCAAGTAGCTGGGACCACAGGTGCCCACTACAAC